GTCACTATCCTCTCCATCGTCCAAAAACCTAAAGTTCTCTATTTCTTCCAGCTCGCACTCCAACCTACGAGCTAAGCCCTCCCCAGAATCGCTTGGTTTGGGGGGCGAACTACTTATGGTCCGACCCGCACTGCCTATGCTGTCACTATTGGAAGGGGAAGACAAGAAAACCACCATCTTTGGAAAAAGAAGTAAAGCGAAAATGACTGACTTACAGAAGGTTCGAGCTGGTTTCAGATCGAACTCCAGAAATTCAGGGAACGTAAAGTTTGACCTGAAGTTTCGGGACTATTTATAGCTAAACGGAAAAACCTCTGCGCCGTACACGTGTAATCAACGAGCGGCTAGGATCTTCTCGAGATCTGCAATGACGGAATACTTGAGTGCTCCGATAACCTGGCAGATCGAAACGTCTTCTGCAATGGTCATATTTCCTCTACAAATGAAAAGTCGGCACGTGTCCAGAATGGATTCGGATGAACTTTTCTGCCAGGTCGAGATCGAACCTGACAGAGAGGGGGCCAATGTTTGGGGGTAAAACATACCCAGGACACGTGGAGGACCTTTACTGGTGTTTGAAGAATTGAATAAAAGAATTGTCTAGGTCCACCTCGGCTCTGCCGAGGAGACCGGGTTCGCCCATTACCAAAAAGGCTAAGTATAGACGCCAAGGTTCGAACTGGTTGTGGTCCGATCTGCTCGGAATCCGACAGGTCCGACATGAGAAAAGACATATAACCGCCGGTCATGTGTACTGTCGGATCCACCACCTATAAATAAAGGGCTTTATTTCACGCTCAGGTATCGAATTTCACCTCGAACTAAATACGGAACCCGACCTATACTGACTTGAGCGTCGGAGTGTTTACCCTCTTGTGCAGGACCATACTAGTGTTCAGGTCGGAACCGGAGACCGAGTTCGAGCTTGATTCATGAAGAACCGTTGTGTAAACTCTTGCATAAACACAATCCTTTCTATTTTAATAAACCATCTTTTCTAAAATTGATTTATTTTCTCTATTGGATATATACTTTAGCTAACCTATTATTTTGGGGGTGGTATGCAGTAGCTATCCTATGGTAAACATTAATCATATTTGGTTCACAATTTGCTTACTACTCTATTTAAAAAGTGTGTACCCTCGTCAGTAATTAAACAACGTGAAGTTCCATACCTAGTGAATATGTATTTCTACAAAAAAAAAAAAAGAGTTAATACCTTGGCCTCATTTATTGGAGTTGCAATGACCTCAATCCAGTTGGAAACATAATAACCTGTTAATAATACATAATTCTTACCAAAAGATGGGGGGAAAGGTCACAAGAAGTCGATGCCCAGTACATCGAAAATCTCCACCTCCAAAATAGGGTTGAGAGATATCTCATTCTTCTGGGATACATTATTTGTTTATTGACAATTGCTTGGGATATTCTCTACCTTAAAAGATAAGAGACTCATGCAAGCATACATGGTCACAAGTAATACAAGAAAGTAATTCTAAGGTTGAATCAATCAGAGACTTTTACTTTCAAAATGAATTTATGAAGTGAAATGATTCAACATGCAATTGAAATTTATGGGTAAAAATGAGTGATAAAGTCGTGATTCTGGGTTGCAAATGTCAAGCTTCTTTATAAAACACAACCCTTGTGCTTCCTACCTTAGTTTTGAAAGAAATTACAGAAGATATACACTTGCAGAAAAAGGTGTTAGGCGCTACTTGGCTAATTTTGGAAATCTGAGTTATACTCTTTCACGAACCGCTTTTGGTTGCTGTAGAGCCTAGAGTAACATACGATCGTATTTCTATGTGTGGTTACAATCCTAGAATATAAATACCAACTCAATTGCTTTGATGGGTCAGAGGGCCTATGTCTAGGATCGTGTTTTATGTGCTTATGTCTAAGTCACGTCCCATATTGGTTTTCTATTATCTTACCTAACCTAACCTTCCCAGTATTGGGCTTTGGTGCATAGATCAAATTCCTAGTTGTCAACTTGAGAAAAGACTTAAAGAAAAGTTTTTAGAAACCAACCTAAGAATGCGCCAGACGCATTCTGGGTTTTTCCCAACCGTGTTAAAATTAAATAATTTTAACCAAGACATTCCACAAATTGGTTGAAAACTAAGTTAATGCATAATTAAAGAAAAGAAAACACTATGGAAAATAAGATAAATAATTTCCATTGAATTAATTTAATGAGTAACAACGTACAATGAGTTCTAGCTTAACCTTCTTCTCTTTCAAGCTTGAATGGAGTTTAAACTCGCTAACGAATGTTAAAGGAAATGAATAAATGAAGAATAAATGAAAGAACTTGAATTAAAACAAGAAAAACACTAGAGTTTTTTAAAATACAAGAAAATGCCGAAAGGAAAAGAACTACACGAAAACTAACATTGAAAACGGTGCTAAAAGCTCTTCAAAGGATTTAAAATGAATGGATAATGAAAGCTTGAATTGATGGGGAGGCTCTCCTTGTATATGGCTCCATGTTTGTTTGAACTCCTCACCAAGATAGGAGGAAAGGGGTTGAGATTATCCCAACAACTCAATTTGACTTGGACTGGGCTGATTTTGTTCCAACAAAGCACAAGTGAATTGACTCCCGTGCCCTCCATAAGTAAAAAGCACATTTTGGAAAAAAGTGGTAAAAATGTGTCAGGCGCATAATTCCTACAACATTTTACATCAAGAAGACACGTGAACCAGCTACAAGTCGTTGAGGTTTTCCACTCACTAACATCGATTTCCAACCACAGACCCTCATAGAATCTTTTTAGGTAGCAACTCGGTATAAAAGGATGTCGACAATGGATTTCATGAAGTCAACTTAGTACGTAGACTATTACCTTCCAAGATGCTAACGCCACCTATTTAAAGCTAAGTGAACGTCTACAGTGGGATTCGCAAAAAGTAAATACATTTTATTGCCGCTTTTGTTTCTTACCACTCTTGTATTTCTCTCACTTTTATTTTTCTTTTTCCCACTCTTATTTTCTCTCAAGAATCTTTTTTGGAATTGATTTTTATTTTATTTTTTTTCATGTTTTTACTTTTGCATATGATTCTTTTTTCAATAAGATTCTTTTTTATATTTGAATTTTCTTTCTGACACTTTTCTTTCTAGAATTGAATCCCCCCAACTTAATGGAAACAATGTCCTCACTAGGGAAAGAAATTTTGAGAGATGCAAAATTTTGCCACAAACAGGACAAAGACTTCCTATGATAGTTAAAAAGTTTTAACTCTTAGAACAAAAAGAAGCAGAACACATCTTTAGTGACAAAAAAAAAGGTGAAAAATGAAATATGGCTTGATAATAAGATTAAGAAATCTAACTTATTCATGTCATTCAGTATCCTTATCGACACGATAGAAAACAAAGAACAAAGAAAAGAAATTCATTTACCAAATGAGCATGCTAAAAGTTTATAAAAGATGCTATGAATAAGCCAACGACAAACTTGTAACTAGAACAAGAGAGTATACTAAGCTTGTACTGAAAGCATGGCGATGCAAAAAACCAAAGCAAAACAATCATTTCAACAACTAGCGGCATCCCACAAAAGATAACCTAAAACTAAGCCTAACTAAACAAATTAGAACAAAAAATAAAAGAACAAAAAAAAAGTAAACCTATTCAAGATCAATATATCAAGTAGTAAAGCAAGAAGATGAGTACTCCCCTAATCATCGTCATCATAAGAAGAATTCACAGAAGTAGAAATGACGGTAGAAACGATGGTGGGCCTTGAAGATGAAGGCAAATAAGCCTTTAGCTCAACCAGGAGAGAAAGTGCATCATCTCCATAAAGATTCTTGAGATACTCACACGTAGCGTGTTGAGTAGCCAAGACAAGGTTATACTTTCACACTAACTCATCATATTGCTCTCTAGTGACTACTTCGTGGGTTTCGGGATCTATGGCGATAGTGAGAGAGTCTTCCTCACGAACTATAGAATATTCTTGTACTCGCCTCATCGATGTGGCTGACTTTTTGGGTATCACCACGTCGTCCGTCTGCTTTAATGCCAACCCTTAAACATAACATAGTTATTAGTGATGGAAAAAAAAGGCTTACCGTTTTTTCTAAACAAACCCGTATTTGACCTCAAGTGAGCTGGCCGAAGTTGAACTATCCCTTCACGAGGCAATACACCATCATCACCCTGTTTTGCTTAATGGAGGAATCGTGTGAGGTAGGAATCAAGTGAAACAGGGTGATGCTTCCTTGTTCTAGCTACGAGTTTGTCCTTAGCTTCTTCAATAACATGTTTTCTAAACTCTCAACATGTTCATCTTTTCAATGAAAAGTTTTCCTTTGTTCTTTGTTTTTGTATCATGTCAACGAGGATACTTAAAGGCATGGATATGTTAGATTTCCTAGTTATATAATCAAACCATAAGTCATTTGCCACTTTTCTTTTGATAATAAAACTGTGTTCTGCTTCTTTTTGTTTTAAAATTTAAACTTTTTCATTACTTTAGAAGTTCTTGTCCTTTTTGTGCCAAAATTTTGCATCTCTCAAAATTTCTTTCCCTAGTAAGGACACTGTTTCCCTTAAGATTGGGGGGGAATAGTTTCTGTCTTGTGTCTTTTTGTTTTAAGATAGAAATTTTTTTTTACGTTTCGAAAAAAAGTTAGAAAGAAAATGCAAGTAATAAAAAAGAGTCTTATTAAAAAAAAAGAGTCAAGTGTGGTAACTCTCCAAAAGAGAGTTATTCTGGTGATTATTTGTGTGAAAATGTGCATTAAAATGTCAAAGTGTGTCGGTTTTAGGTCATAATTAGCATGAATAGTGTTAAAATGTAAATTTTTAGCTAAATATCCTTAGTTTTGAGAACTTTGGCCAAAAACAGCATAAACTCTCGTATTTCTGGTTCATTTACATAGATTTTTAAAGAAGAGCTAAGAAGAGAATGAAGTGCTGAACCAGAGAAGAGTAGTCAAAGCATTTACAAGACAGAGCATATAAAAGTTGGAGCATAGCGATGCCAGAGCATGGAGTGACCGTACAGTTAATTCCAAAAACACGGGATTCACTTATGTCCGTACAATTTTCAGCTAGGTGCTCTAACTTAGTGAACATTAGCAATCAAATAGTGGAACTTCAAAGCATCACAAGCAAAGAGGTCAACCCAGTAGAAGCTAGGGCAGACAAAACAGAAGCATCACATCTGCACATGACTGAAAAACAGAAGCAGACAGAGCATGAAAATGCTACAGCCGAGTATCGACCCGCACCACCATACCCAAAGCGGCTGAAAAAGAAAGAGCAGGATGTGCAATTTAGAAAGTTCCTGAATGTGCTAAAGAAGTTGCATGTGAACATACCTTTGGTAGAAGCTTTAGAGCAAATGCCAAATTATGTGAGATTTTTGAAAGAGATACTCAAAAAGAAGAGAAAGCTAGGAGAATATGAAACTGTAGCAATGAGTAAGGCCTGCAGCACTATCCTCACAAGCAAAATTTTAGCAAAGATGAAGGACCCTGGGAACTTCACCATACCTGTTTCCATTGGAGGATAGAAAATAGGACTTCTGTGTGATCTGGGAGTCAGCATCAACCTTATGCCCCTATCCGTTTACAACAAGCTGGGAATAAGAGAAGCAAAACCCACCATAGTCACTTTGCAGTTAGCAGATTGATCCATTACATATCCAAAGGGAAAAATTGAAGATGTTCTGGTACAAGTAGATAAACTCATTTTCCCTGTTGACTTTATTATTTTGGATTATGATGCAGATAAAGAAGTTCSTATCATTCTTGGGAGGCCATTGCTTGCATCGAAAAGAGCACTCGTGGACATCGACAAATGAGAGTTGACAATGCGCGTTCAAGATCAGGAAATGAAGTTCTCAGTCTATGATTCCATGAAGTTTCTTGCTGAATCAAAAGAATGCTTAGTGTTGAAAATTTTGGATGAAGCCTTAATGGAGGAATCAAGTGCAGAAGCAATGCTGGAGTATTGTGTAAGTAGGGATGTTGGAGCTCAAGAAGGTTTTGGTGATGGGAATAAAGAGATTATGGTAGAGGAAGATGCTACCGCTAAAATAAAGACCCCAGCACCAGGAGGAGAGTATAAAAATTTTGAGTCGTCAGATGCCTCAGCGCAACATGCAGAAGCTAGTAAGGGCCTACTAAGTGGAGAGAGGGTAGATGCTCCAGCATCTTGCGCCCTTAATAAAAAAACAGAGCCTTACTGCCTCGATGGATAAAGTGCACATCATTGTAGAGGAAAAGCCGGTAAACTTACCTACAAAAGAGCCACCCGACATCAAACCAACTCTAAAAGTTTCAGAAGCAAGGATGAGGAGACCAAAAAGAGAGCTGGAAGCATCATGCAACAAATAGAAAAAGGCAAAACCTTCCAAGACATCTGCCAAGGTACGAATCGAGAAAGTGGGAGCAACTCCAGTCATTACTTCTAAGAAAAACAAAAAGGTAAAAAAGAGAATTTTCATCTCCCCAGCGGCAAATAGAGGGAAGAAGACAATAGATCCAGAAAAGAAGATCAGCCCACGGGCGACTCGTTAGATGAGAAAGAAGGCAAGAAACATTAACATGTTTGACCCGCGAGAGGGAAGTTCCTTTCCTTTTTAGTCTTAAAAATGACCCCCCCTTTCAATTGTTGTTACGTTTTATATTTCTTAGTCTAGTTTAGTTCAGTTTTAATTTATGCCTTTTAAATTTCTGTCTTTCAAATCTGTCTTTGCATATTTTTCTTTTTGTAGTTCAGTATGTGAATCCCTCCCTGAAAGTGATGATATAAAAAGATAGTTGTTAGCAATCCCGTGTTCTAAACATCTACTCTTTGCCCTGCCTCGTATGTATAGTCTTGATGCTAGAGCCTGGTAGTGCACAATTTTCCCTATTGATGCCGGAGCATTTTATTGTGTGTTAGCCTTCTTTTGTTCATCCTCTGGTTCATGTTTGCCTGCCCATGCCCTAGCATCCCTCTCATAGTACTGACCCCAGGTAGCGCTTACCCTAGACAGGAATTTCAATGGCTCTCTATCCAAAGCCACCCCTTATCTTTATATAGTTAGCCTGGATTTCTCTTAGTCCCCTTAGTTGTTAGCATTAGCCCTTCATATTATTCCATCTTTCCAACTAGCGAATTTCATTATACTTTACACTATACTTTCGCTTTAAATTTGGGGGCATTCTAGAGCAATGTAACGTAGATGTCCTTAACT